TTTTTCTACATGAAAGTAAAACAGCAACTGATTAACTTTTTGCTCATATTTATCAGCCACAATACATTTGCATCATAATTTACTATCTACCTTTCACAGAATAAACAATATTAGTTGGCAAGTTTGAAGGCGCTTGTAGCTCATAAAATGACTTAGCGTTTCAGGTCTGTATTAAAAATTGGGGTCTTTTTGATGTGAATACGCCCGGGAACATTTAGCACAATCTATTCTGCGGTTTCTAAGAAAAGTTCAGAAATATCACCGAGCTCTTCTACTTTTTTCAGCTGATCATTCTCTGTCTCATTCAAGCAGTTTTGTGTTTTAAAAGGTCCCGAAACAACTGCAGCTGACAGGCAAGCAAAAAGTTATGATTTCAATAGTTTAGATTTTTTCCGGGACAGTGGAGCGCCTGTTCAACGACGTGTGGCCCCGGAGTAGCGACAAGAACTGTCGAATGTGTAGCTGTACAAGGAATTACCTCAAATGTTATCAAACTGCCAGACTATGAATGCGAAGGTTCTTCTTCTACGGATTTCCTTGAGTCACTAAAATCTTGTTTAGCTCGTTGGAACACCCAGAGAGGTGTAAACTGCGTGATTCCGATAAGGACTCATCTACAGAAAAACAGTGCTTTTTAAGTCTTGCATTCTTTTTATAAAATGACATGCCTTTATATTTCTGGGTTCTTGTTTTCGAGTGCATTTGGAACCCCTTTCGCTACATCCATCTTCTCACCTCTGGTCAGGACCTTTCAGACAAAGAAGCTTCTGCAAACAATGCATTTTCTACAACAGCAATACATCACATGTCATTAGTGATGGCAAGAAAGACAAGGGCGAATTCAGCCTACATGTAACAAGACTTTTTTTTCACTTGCGCGGCAATTTTAGGTTCACCCAAGCCAAGCGCATTCCAACCCTGCCAAGTACAGCAGTGCCCACTCAACGAACCGGCAGAGGATCCACCAGTGCGTGGACGCTCACTGACATCGCCAAGAGCATTCAAATGGGATTATGGAGATTGGACTACTTGCTCCGCTTCCTGCCTTGGAGGTAGTAATTTTCTTTTCGAATTCAGAATTTTTTCTGGAAATACTCTCTCTTGGGAAACTTCAGCAGCAGCCGCATCACGTTGTCTTTGGGAATGACAAGCATAATTTAAGAATCTACTTTTCAGGAAAGCAACGCTCGACTCTTAAATGTGTTGACGTGAAAAGGCGTATCACTGTTGCTTGGTCATTCTGTGATGCCAGACAGCGTCCAGTGGACTTGACACGATCCTGTAACAACGATCCATGCCCACCGGAATGGGATGTTAGTTCATATTGTATTCTATAGACTTTCCAAGGGAGAAGTACGATGGTGCTAGTCAAATCATCTTATCTTTTAGCACCAATTTGAATATCCAGGATTAAATGTTGTCAGTGATTTGTAAAAAAGGGGTTTTAAAAGTTGCCAGTGAAGTTTGTTTAGCTTATTTGACGTAAATCTATTCCATTCAGCTGTGTATGTACATCAGTCAAATCAATTAAAATGGTTTTTAATAGAGTTTCTGAAAATTGATGACATTTGGACAGCTCAGCCTTCTCCATGGATCTGGCAATTGTGCCTTATCGAAATCTTTTCTGCAGTTTGGGCGAAACGCGCCAGAGCATCTTTTCCAATGATTACTATGGACCCAGGAAGAAAAGAATGTTTAATCTTTACTATCCATTACTTTTAAACTGCTTAATGTACTATGCAATCCATGCAGAGCTGTGACTTTCTGAAATCGATTTTTGATGCCGAACTTGCCTTTTAAAGTAGCGGAATGTTTTTAGATTGGCGAAATGTCACTGTGCTCACATACATGCGGAGGTGGAATACGCACTCGGAAGGTTTGCATTTCGCAGCTGCATTAACAACTCAATTTTGAAAGAAAAGACGAATTGCAGAGAGGCGAAAAAATACTGGATATTGATGGGAATAATATTTATTTTCACATATAATTTGCGCTTCGTCCTGCTGAATTTTATACAGCGAGTACCAGGAACCGTATTAAAACGCATTACATACGAAAAGTAAAAAACAACTTCAGCTTTTAACATGGAGTTAGCGTTGGGATGCATTCTGTTGCATTTCATATCTGTGAGGGCAGTTGAATTTTTTGAAAGGCGACGGCGTGGAGTTAGGAACAGTTTTGAAAGTAAGACATCTTTCGATTAAGTATATTTCAAACATGTACTTAATCATTAACCTTTAATTAATAAAACTAACGGCACATTAGATATGAATTTCACCAAGGTTATTGTAATTACTGGAACCGTGCGAAATACCAGTTAGCTCTACGATGCACATAAGAATGATTTTTCGCAAAAAGTTTCTGAAGGTCCTGAAAAAATCCTCAGATTACTGGGTGAATTTAATTCCAAAATTTACAGGTACGCTGTATTCGCCGAATATCACGAAGCGGTGGTGCCGAATCAACGCTAATCCTACCGGATGGACAGTGTCCACAGCCCAAACCGACAAATAACGAAGCTTGTGGTTTAGTGGATTGTCCAATCACATGGAAGGTTTCTTGTTTATTTGACAATAAATTCCTCTTTTTTGAATAACAAAAGATGTTGCTCAAGATGCATCGGAAATTTAAAAAATTTTTATGACTTTTTCTGCGACTAAATTATTGATTTACTTGAGAGCTTTTCAAAATGTAGCGGTTTTAGAAAATTTTTATGCTGGGGAAGTGGAAAGTTTTTAATGACTTTTTCAGAGGAATTTCGAAATAATTTTACTATTTAAAAAAGCTCACTAAATTAACATTTTTATCAAAGTAGCTGGTATA